ACAAGCAGTAATCGAGGAGCAGACACCACACCCAACAAATTTTTGCATTTTTAGTAAAGATGGGGGTTTCACCATGTTGGCCAGGCTGGTCTCGAACTCCTGACCTCATGTGATCCACCTGCCTCAGCCTGTCAATGTGCTGGGATTAGAGATGGGAGACACGGCACCCGGTTAACAAAGCCTATTTTAATCAGTATTTCCATAAATTGTTATTTCTACAACTTAAAAAACCTAATATAATCTTAGCACGAACAACTATTCCTTATTGCAAACCTGGTCCTACTTCGTACTTTGAATATTCAGCTTTCTTGCTCATTTATTACGTAATCTGTAAGCAATAAATTAATGGATGTATATAATATAAATACAAACTTAAACATAATACAAATTAGGAACAAGCAGAAACCAAATTTAACTCATTATTATTTTTGAGACAGGGCATTATTCTGTTGCCCAGGCTGGAGTGCGGGGGCATGATCATGGCTCACCGAGGCCTCCGCCTCCCAGGCTCAAGCGATTCTCCCACCTCAGCCTCCCGAGTTGCTGGGACTATATGCACACACCGCCATGTCTGGTTGTTATTTTTATTTTTTATAGAGATGGGGTCTCTCTATGTTGCCCAGGCTGGTCTTGAACGCCTGGTCTCATGCAATCCTCCTGCCTTGGTGTCCCAGTGTTGGGATTCAGGCGTAAACCACTGTGCCTGGGCAAGTTTATATTATTTTTTTAATGCACATATTTACTGAAATAACCAATGAGCTGAACATTGGCTCACAACTCATGATTTAAAAGCTATGTAAAGCAAACCACAGCATTCAAAGTCTTGTCTGCCAACTGCCCACATTTAAAATGAAATACTCAATAGCATGTGAACTTGAATCTACAAAAAAACAAAGTATTTGGAGGGGAAGAATCTAATCCCACCTAACTTCTAAAGACTTTCCTCAGGACTTGCAAGAAATCTGCATTTTTTATGCCTTCTTTTCTCCAATGTGAAAAACAAATGAATTAAAATCACAGGTAATATTTATCTGTGCTGCTAATATTTAAACATAGCAAACTTTCAGTGATCATTAAATTATTTTTGCTTAGTGATTGGGTAAATGTTCAATTAGGAAGAAAGAACACAAAAGGTATGTTTAATTTTAACCTCTAATCTCTTAACGTTTGTAGGTCTCTGGTATTTGTTGTTGAGTAACAAATACAAGTCGTCTTTGGGTGTAGGACGCACTAGCCTAAAAGTAAAAGAGCTGGCTTAACTAGCCAGTGATACTTGATGGTTAAATTTTCTTTCTGGCCTTGAAAAACCAAATACATAAAAGAATGGCCAGTTTCCAGTTTCTGTTGCGATGCATGTGTGGGGGCGGGTGCAGACTGGGGGAAAGTGTTTGGTGAGGGAGGAATTTGGTGGGTAAGAGGAACGAAAAAAATTTTTAAATCCCCAAACAACATCTTATATATGTACAGCATAATCTAGTTTCCAGTAAATCATCACACGGTTTCTCTTATTTGATCTTAATAGTAATGTCGTGACACAGGTTAGAGCAGGTAATACCTGTGGGTTGTTGTAAAGGAAAGGGTGACCTAAGAAGGTTAAAACATGCTCTACAAATGGCAGAGCTGAGATGCAAACTGGTCTAGTCTTGTGACCCACTGCCTTGAATGCAGAGTACCGTGACCAGCCTGGCCCGTTTCCCACAGCCTAACCTGTTCTGCAACCCAACACCAAATGTTCTCTCCAACTGACCTGTCTTTAAAATGAAAACTCCTTCTAGTATAAAGACCCACTGGGGCTGAGCGCAGTGACTCACACCTGTAATCTCAGCACTCTGCAAGGCCAAGGCAGGAGGAACACTTGAGGTCAGGAGTTCGAGACCAGACTGGCCAACATGGTGAAACCCCATCTCTACTACAAATACTAAAAAATGAGCCAGGCGCGGTGGCGCGTGCCTGTAGTCCCAGCTACTCGGGGGACTGAGGCAGGAGAACTGTTTGAACCTGGGAGGCGGAGGATGCAGTGAGCGACAGAGTGAGACTGTAAAAAAAAAAAAAAAAAAAAAAAGACCCACTGAGTTTAAGCCTGAAGCCTCCAGAGGGTCTCCTCCTTCCCTTTCCATCTCTCTGTAGCTGGAAAGCAGCTCTGTGGCAGGATGGACCCCAAGCAGGTGGTTCTTGGAGCAGGACTGGGAGGACAAAGCCCTCCAGGAGGGGCTGAGTCCAGGCCAGTAAGAGATACAGGGAACCTAGGACTGCTGGAATGATGGGCTGCTGGGGCGCACCTCTGTTCCGAGCCTTATCCCTGCTCTTAATGCAGTTACAACCTGATAGGCCCACCCACAGGCTGCTGCTCCCATGCCTCAAACAATACACATTTACAGTTGTTGCCTTTAAAAAGAAAAACAGGCCACTTATTTTACTAAAACTCAGGGTCTAAGCATTTCTGTTTGCAGAGACTGGGCAGGATTCCGTATCTTTACAAGCACATGCTTTCTGCAGCATGGGTATATTCTCGAAGTATTTGTTGCAAGATTGTCTGTTTTTGCATTTGACATTTCAATGAATTAAAGGGGAGGAAGAAGATAGGAGAAAAAAATTAAGCCTATATTTACCCTTGTAGTTATTTTGGACTCACTTGCTGCAAAGGTAGGGAATGGCATGGGAAGGCTCTACTCTGCAGGAAGTAACCTTCGCCTTCCCCGGGTAAACGCTTTTGTTTCCTTCAAACAGATCGGATCGCTCTCCCAGCATTAAAAATGAGAAATAAATTTAGCTTCATCTCCATATATCCTGGGATTTCCCCTTAAATACGCTCTACAGCATTCTTCTGAGTGGCTTAGTATGAAATGCAGTCCCTGGTTTCTTCCTGCCCCACAGCCCCCTAGTAAGCCGCCCTACCCCACCTGGGAGGCATAGAGTGGGAGGTGGTTGCTCTCAAGATAAAGAAGGCGGCATCATGTTCTCCCCCTGGAAGAACAGAAGCCCCGGAGGCCCAGGAGAGAAAGGAGAATTCTCCTCTGCCTAGCCTTTTCTGTGCATGTGACAGGGTATTTTCTCTCATTCACAGTCAGTATGGCTTTGCCAACAGCTCCAAGAAAAATGATGCTTAGACGGTGCTAGTCCAAGGTGCCCGTGAAACTGAAGGCCTCATCCTACATGTGAATGTTGCTCACGTATATTATGTGATTATTTACTGTTACAGTGAGGTATGTGAGATTAGCCCCATTTTTAAAGACAAGGAAACTGGCTTGGAGAAGGTGAGTGACCTGCCCATGGCACCCAGCTGGCACCCAGCAGATATGAGATTCAAGCGTGCATCTTCGAAATCTTGTGCACTTCCTGTTATACCATGGCTGCCTCCCATTCAAGTTCCAGGCACCGCCTTTTGAATCTGACCAGATCGGGTCTTCGAAAGAGAGGATCAAAACCCCCCTGCCTATAAAAGTTAGTTTGAAAGAATAGGAAAGAAAACATGCTTCAAGTTCTAAACAAAGCAGCAAGGTTGGAAATGGAGGGGATGCTGCTCCTTCCGACTGTCACTCCGAGTCTAAAGCCCTGTTGCTCAGCTGAACTCCAAAACGAGTCTGCTGCTATGGTGGGCAGCTTTCCAATATTTTGTAAGCCTCTGAACCCTTTAAAGATAAAATGTTATGCTGACACTAAGTAAAAGTAGAGCTTGCTCTGGTTAGAGCCAGTGAGGCAACTTTGGGGGTATGCACAAGCCTCGGAGGGCTCCACATTCTCAGGGACCTCTCCCGTCCTCCATACCCCCAGGGCTATGCAGCTCAGACTGTGGCTCACAGAGGTGCCTGGCTGCAAGCTGAACTGTTCGTTACTCTTTTTAAAACTTTGGCACCGGAATGTAAATCAACTACTGAGTTCAGCACTTTTTTTTTTTTTTTTTTTTGAGACGATATTTTGCTCTTGTTGCCCAGGCTGGAGTGCAGTGGTGCAATCTTGGCTCACTGCAAACTCCACCTCCCAGGTTTAAGCGATTCTCCTGCCTCAGCCTCCCGAGTAGCTAGGATTATAGGCGCCCACCACCATGCCTGGTTAATTTTTTATTTTTAATAGAGATGGGGTTTCACCATGTTGGCCAGGCTGGTCTCGAACTCCTGACCTCAGGTGATCCACCCACCTCGGCCTCTTCAAGTTCCAAACAAAGCAGCAAGGGTATGCTCACTCCGACTGCCACTCTGAGTCTAAAGCCCTGTTGCTCGCTCGCTGCTGAACTCCAAACGAGTCTGCTGCTCTGGTCGGGAGCTTTCCAATATTTTTTAAGCCTCTGAACCCTTTAAAGATAAAATGCTATGCTGACACTAACTAAGTAAAAGTAGAACTTGCTCTACTTCCAAAGTGCTGGGATTACAGGGTTGAGCCACTGCGCGTGGCCTTGCACTTTTTTATTCTCTACTTTTGAGCGAGATGTTCTTGATGAAGCAAGCAGACCCCTGATTTCCATTCTGGCTTGGGCTCTGCATCTCCCCCTGTGTGCCAGGAACAAAGCACTGGCCCAGAAACCAGCTCCAGAGAGATGTAGAGTCCCATGGCACTGGATGGGAGCACGATTCCACCTCCGTGGAAACACATCGGGAATTCCCACTCTGACCCACAGGAATACCCCTCCATGCTGCTTTGCAGCAGTAAACCTCCTGTCCCAGGGCTCAGCAGCCTCAGGAGGAAAACTCCAGCACTGGTGGCTGAAATGCTTTCAGGGTTTGCCACTCACTTCCCAGCCCTGGGCAGTCAGCCCATTCCATGCCTGTATGGCTCTGGATATTAGAAAATCCTTTCTTTCCTTGACCTAAAATTTTCCCTCTTGGAAATTCTCTGTCCTCGTTGTCTTAACTCTGGTACCAAGGGTCCAAGATTAACACTTAATCTTCCTTCTAAAGAACCAGCCTAGAAAGAACTTGAAGACGAAAATATATAAACCATGGACTGCCTTTAAATCAATTAGAGATACTGTAACAAGCCAACTTTCTTACAATAAGGGAACTGACCACTTTTAAAATGCAGGAGACATCTGAGCACTGGTAGGTTTCTAACTCGTGAGTTTTTGCAGATTTCCAAGTTTTTCATAAGAAATCACATCCAAACACCGAGGAAAATGGAGGGGCATACATAAACATCCCGAGGGTGAAGGAAAACAGCTCCCCACGGTGAATAATGCCATTCACGGTTCACATTGTCATCCTTAATTTGGAAGAAATAAAATATGTTTATGGAAACTGCTTTAAGATTTGCAAGAGAGTGTGATCAGAGAAAAGCAAGCCTCCACCTTCCCGAGGCGAGGGTTGGTCTGTTTCCTGCCAGGACAGAAGAGAACTTCGTGGGAATCCACACACTCTGTACAAGGCGGAATCACTCCCCACTTCCTCAGTCTCCACGGTGCAAGGCAACGACGGGATCTGGCCTCTCCTCCTCTTATCTTTCCTGAAGCCTTTTCTGTGTTGCTGGCAGATATTTCCTGTTGACACTGTGCCTCCCCAGTCAGTTTCCACTGCCAGAACCCCATAATGTGAAGTGTGGCACGCCAAGCGTCTGGTCATGCGGTATCTGGTGGGATAAGCCGTCACCCTACAACTGGGAAAGGATTTCAAAACAGGAGGCCACGTCGTGTGTTATTATAACAAAGGGCTGAATGCACGTCACCATCGCCGCTGAGATCTTCACATTCCTAGCAAAAAAGAAATCTCCATGTGGCATGTTTTAGAGCTCTTATTTAACCGGACTGACCAAATATCCAATTCTCAAACACGGTAGACCCCAGGCACTTGCAGATCTTAACTTTGGCGGTTTTATCTATTTCTATGTCTTTTTGAGGCTGGCCATACGGGGAAGACTGTCATTTGCCTGGGGTGTGAATCAAGCCCTTTGTATAAGGAACACGGATTACTGGGTCCATCTGGCCAACTGTCCAATACCCCTGGCTTGACCTAAAATTGGGACCGAGGTGTTCTCGATGAAGCAAGCCGACTCCTGATTTCCATTTTGGCCTGGGCTCTGCATTTCCTTGCGTGACAGAGACAAATAATGGGATGCTGCAGCTTTCTGCATCCCATTGTTTCGGGGGAAAGAGTTCAAGGACTCCAGCACTCTTCTTGTTTGCTGGGGCAGATCAAGGCATTTCATCCCAACTCCAAAGATGCCAACCCCGAAATGGCACACGTTTCTGGCGTGCCCAGGTGGGGGGTCGGGGAGTATCCGCTGCCACATTCCTGTCACTTCTCATGAGCCCAGGAGCAACTCCCAAGCCAGCACCCCGGCCACCCCGGCCTGGCCTGCGGCTGCAGAGAGGGGCCTGGTCGGTGCTGTCTGGGTGCTCTGTCTCTCCGGTTCCTCCAGGATGGGTGGCTGAGTTTTACCTGGGCCTTGCCTTTCCTCACATCAGATGGTACAATCTCAGACTCCAGTTTGGAATTCGGGATAAGGTCACCGTCAGGCCTTTTTATTATTTTTTAAAACCAACCTCATTGAGGTATAATTTAGATATACTAAAGTCCATCCATTTTAATGAAGTGTACAGTTTAATGAGGTTGGACACACATATACACCTGTGTAATCCCTACCACAACGAAGACAGACAGACAGCATTTCCACCTGTCCTTGGATCCATCTAATACGGAAAGGCAGAGTGGTTCCACTCTGCAGCCAAGCTGTTCTGTCACGTCCTGGCTGTGATGGGCGCAAGTTATCTCCTCTTCCTTTGTCTTGGTTTCTCCCATCTGCAAAACGGGTCGAGTATTAATATCGAAAACACTGTACTTTGAGTGCTAGTTGTGCGGTTTGATATGTGTGGAACATTCACATCTGTGCAGGCCCGTGGCTAGCCTTTCACGGTGTGGGCTGTTGTTATCATCATCATTATTATGAGAAATGGCTGAGCTTCCTTCTCAATGACAATTTCTCTACTGTAGAGGGTACTTGTGACAGCACCCTGGAGAATCACCTTTTAATACCACATTAACCCCTTCTTCTAACAGACTTAGCACTTGCATCTGGGCAAATACTTATTCACAAAGGTCTCAGCAAATCTCTTCAACCCAAAGAATTTACTATATTCTCACTAATCAAGATCACAGAAACCTTGATCATGCTAGCAAGCCATCGCCTTACCTCCCTGGGACTCACGTGGTGTCCCCCCCAACTCTCTAGTCCCAAGCTCAGACCTTAAGAAGCTCTAATGTCCTCTTTATTGGAGACAAGAAGGGGCTGGAGAGGTGTGTGATTTTTACCTGTTTCCCCTTGCCCTTGTCCCCTGACTATCAATATAAGGTAGAAAATACAGAAAAAATATAAAGAAACAGAAAGAAAAATATAATCCCACATACACAACCCCAGCTCCCAGAAGCCACTAAACCTAACATCTTAGTGTATTTCCCCCAGGTATGTTTTTGTGCAAATTTTTCTTTACCTAGCAGGGAGGTTATGTTACATATGTATTTTTACAGTTTTAACTTCACTTTAGCATGTAATTATTTTCCCTGGTCACTAAACCTCACGTTACAGATAACTTACCCTTTCATCTTACGGATAGGTCATATAATTATTCCTCATTTTGAACTCACAAGTTGTTGTGTCCAGGTTTTCATCACTGTAAGTTTACAACAAGCACCCTTGTGCACGATGGTTTATCTTATTTGAATGAAACTGGGATTTCTGGGTTCGCTGAGCAGTTATATTTTCTGTTGAGAGTGTCAGACTGCCTCTGGAATGCTTGAGATGCACCAGGGGTGGTGCCCCAGGAGGGCAGCGTGTGGCCTTCATCTCTCACCGGGCCATTCACGCTGCGTGTGTTTGTTCTGTGGCATCCCGCATGGTAAAGTCAACAACTGTCAGGTGACAGGCTTTGTGGGACCCTGCTTGTAGGAGAGCAATCCTGGGGTGAGTCCATGTGTCTGGCTACCCTGGTTCTAAGAAACCATTCCAGTTTGCAGGCTCCAGACCTTCCAAGATGCTGACGTAGTGATGATAGAATGCACAGGACACCTCCATCCAATAACTTTTGTGCTTGCCTTTCAATAAGCAGGAAAGCCCAGGTGGAATCCCAGAAATCCATTTCTGATCTCCAAGGTGAGATGTCAGGTTCTTACCTGACTGGCAGAAATCCACACGTTGGATAATACACCGTGGTGGCATAACTGTGGCAAAACGGGCATTCAACGTTCACTTCCGGTAGGAATACAAGTGTGAATGGCCCCTCCGCGGGGAAATCTGGCAACAACCATCACCAAAGTCACCAACGCACATGTGCTTTGACAAGCGGTTTTACTTTAAAAGATGTATTCCACAGACAGACTTATGCATCCTCCAGCACAATGTAAAAAGAGAAGACAGTTCTCCCCATCTGCAGCCCCACAGTGGGTCCGGGTGATGCAAGGACTGAAGAGTTGACCAGCGCTGGAGCTGCCCCGGCTCTGTCTAGTAGGAGAGCTTCCCAGATAGAGATCCTCTGGGAGAAGAAAAAAAAAAATGACAAGGTGGCAACAGTTGTGTAGGAAAAAAATATAGGCCTTTCCCAGTCACGGAAACAGGACGCAGGGAGGGGCCATCAGACAAAGAAAAGAGATGCAGAAAGGTGTATGTTGGAAGCAAGATGTGCAGACACTGAGGAAAGGCAGGGCCAGGAAGTCATGACCGGAGAGAGGCAGGGGTCGCATTCAGCTCTAGAGACTTGAATGCCACGGATAAGGGCTGGGTTTATCCTACAGGCCAGGGGTCACTAACATGAAGCATAAAACTACTTATAAACATTGCTATCTAAAAACAAAGTCTGGTTGTGCTTTTATTTTATTTTATTTATTTTATTTTATTTTGTTTTAGATGGAGACTTGCTCTGTCACCCACACTGGAGTGCAGTAGTATGATCTTGGCTCCTGTGACCTCTACCTACCAGGTTCAAGTGATTTTCTTGCCTCATCCTCCCTACTAGCTGGGATTACAGGCATGTACCACCACACCCGGCTAATTTTTGTATTTTTAGTAGAGACGGGGTTTCACCATATTGGCCAGGCTGGTCTTAAACTTCTGACCTTGTGATCCATCCGCCTCAGCCTCCCAAAATGCTGGGATTACAGGCGTGAGCCACCGTGCCCAGCCTGCACTGATATTTTATACAGACACATCTGGCATCATGTAATTCAAAAATATATACCCACTAGGGTCCATGCTCAATTTTATTATTTATTCATGCATTCATTTATTTTTTGAGACAGGGTCCTGCTCTGTTGCCCAGGCTGGAGTGCAGTGGCATGATCATGGCTTACTGCAGCTGCCACCTCCTGGGCTCAACCAATTCTTCTGCCTCAGCCTCCTGAGTAGCTGGGACTACAGGCATGTGCTACCACACCTGGCTAATTTTTAAAACATTCTTTTGCAGAGATGGGGGGGAGGGTCTCACTATGTTGCCCAGGTTGGTCTTGAACTCTTGGGCTCAAGATCCTCCCGCCTGCCTTCCCAAAACGCTAGCATTATAGGGGTGAGCCCCTGCACCTGGCCTCACACTCAATATTACCACTAGAGGTATGTAATCACAAAATTCTGGAGCCACATGGTCTTGGCAATAAAGACAGCTGAAATGTGACCAGCAGGAGAGGGGCGTGATGAGCTGTGGTGTTAGGAAGAACAGCAGGAGCCAGAGATTCTTCAGGAGCCAGAGATTCGGGAATCCTCCTGGGTGGAGCTGCAGTTCTACTTGGTCCTTCCCGGAAGGGAACAGCTACTGAGCTCAGTGATCAGCCCCAGTGCTGCACCGGGAACGGGTCACGAAGCTGGTTACTTATCTGCGTGTGGTAAGTCTAAACCAAAAAAAGGCAATCAACTTCGGTCTCTTGCAGAGAAATGCATTTGCCTTCCTCCAAGTAGGCTGTGTTAAGATGCTCCCTTTTGGACCCCGGGTGACAGGAATCTTGGGCCAAATCCCCTACCAAATGCTGGAGCTGGTTCCCATCAGTACGTAGGTCAGTTGTTTTAAGAGCTGGAGGTGTGTGCAGTCTCATGCTTCCTCTGTTAGAGTGTATTTAATTCTATTTCCTCCCTTTCAAGTGCGTTTAATATTTTAATTCTCATCCCCTCCCTTTAAGACCTTATAGGTCTCTAGACATGGGGCTGTCAACGGAGCACAGCACCCTAGCCTAGATACTAGAGATGTGGAGACCCTCACTATTTTGGGATCATACCTGTGCCTCTCTCACTACAGCAGAAGATGAGGCAGTTCCATGCTGTTACTGGCAAAGTTGTGACATCCTGATCCTTAGAGTCACAAGAGGGAAACTCAGGCCTGCTCATAGTTCCAAGAGGGTTTGTAAACACTTTAGAGGGGACCAAAGGAGTAGAAGAAGGTCAAGAAGATCACAAAGTCACCAGTGTGACATCCACTGCCTTCCATACTTCGCCCTACAGAAGGCCATCAATGTGCTCAGAGAATAGCCAGGAATGTTGAGTTGCAGGTGACATGTCTGGAGGGATACAGGCTGACTCCACAGGGTGGAAAGGAGACACGGCACATATGTCCGTTTCTACAGCATGCCTGTGGAGGTGACGAGCTTTCAACTGAGTCATGGGATGTCCACCTCTTTTTCCATCGATTGTTCATTCCAGCAGAAAAGTCCACGTTCACCAGAGAAGAAAAATGATACGTCTCCCTCCCCTCCCCCAAGTAGGAAGTGTCCAGGTGGGAGCTCAGCTATGAGGACACAAAGGCATAAGAAAGATACAATGGACTTTGGGGACTCAGAGGGAAGGATGGGATGGGGGTGAGGGATAAAAGAAAGAAAAAGTGTCCAGGGATTTATTTTTATTTTTATATTTTTTATTTTATTTTATTTTATTATTATTTTTTTTTTGAGACGGAGTCTTGGGCTGGAGTGCAGTGGCCGGATCTCAGCTCACTGCAAGCTCCGCCTCCTGGGTTTACGCCATTCTCCTGCCTCAGCCTCCCGTGCAGCTGGGACTACAGGCGCCTGCCACCTCGCCCGGCTAGTTTTTTGTATTTTTTAGTAGAGACGGGGTTTCACTGTGTTAGCCAGGATGGTCTCGATCTCCTGACCTCGTGATCCGCCCATCTCGGCCTCCCAAAGTGCTGGGATTACAGGCTTGAGCCACTGCGCCTGGCCTTAATTTTTATTTTTTAACATGGAGTCTCACCCTATTGTCCAGGCTGGAGTGTAATGGCATGATCTTGGCTCACTGCAACCTCCACGTCCCAGGTTCAAGAGATTCTCGTGTCTCGGCCTCCTGAGTAGCTAGAATTACAGCCATGGGCAACCACAGTCAGCTAATTTTTGTCTATTTTATAGAGATAGGGTTTCACCATGTTGGCCGGGCTGGTCTCGAACTCCTGACCTCAGGTGGTCTGCCCACCTTGGCCTCCCAAAGTGCCGGGATTACAGGCATGAGCCATCGCGCCTGGTCTGTCCAGGGATTTTGAACCCAGATCTTCTCAAAAATCAGGTGGAGGTGGAGGAACCAACAAAAACAGACACAATCCCTTCATCCAAGAACTCAAGGAAGGGACAGAACACATATAAAAGGTTTTGTAAAACTCTTCTCCATCTGTAACTCTTTTACTAAAAAAGAACATCAGGTAAAAACACTTATCTGTAATTTAAAATATTCAAAAATTAGACTGACTTTTTAAATTTTTATTTCTTTCCAATTGTTATTTTGGCTTCAGGGGTTTGTGACATGAGTAAATTGCATGTTACATGAGTAAATTGCATGTCCTGGGAATTTAGTGTACAATTATTTTGTCGCCCAGGTAATGAGCATAGTCCCTGAGGGGTAGTATTTCTATCCTCACCCTCCTCCCACCCTCTACCGTCAAGTCGGTCCTGGTGTCTGTTCCTTTCTTTGTGTTCAATGTACTCAGTGTTTAGCTCCCACTTATAAGTGAGAATATGTGGTATTTGGTTTCCTGGTCCTGCATTAATGCACGCAGGATAATGGCTTCCAGTTGATCCATGTTGCTGCAAAGCACATGGTTTCATTCTTTTTTATGGCTGCATAGTATTCCATGGCATATATGTATCACATTGTCTTCTTCCAGTCCACTGTGTGATGGGCATCTAAGATGATTTCAGATTTTTGCTATTGTGAATAGTGCTGCGATGAACATATGCACACATGTGTCTTTATGGCAGAACGATTTATATTCCTTTAGGTATAAATGGAATGGGATTGCCAGGTCGAATGGCAGTTCTAAGTTCTTTGAGAAATCTCCGAACTGAAATTTCCAAATTGCTTTCCAATAGTGGCTGAACTAATTTACATTTCCACCAGCACTGTATAAGTGTTCCTTTTTCTCCACAACCTCGCCAGCATGTTATTTTCTGACTTCTTAATAACAGCCATTCTGACTGGTATGAGATGGTATCTTATTGTGGTTTTGATCTGCATTTCTCTAATGATAAGCGTTTTTTTCATGTTTGTTGGCCATGTGTATGTCTTCTTTTGAGAAGTGAGATTGGCCATTTTAGACCACATAATAAGTTTGCACATAGTAACTTTCATCTAATTTTAACTTAACAATGGTGCTAACATTATGCGGCAGAAAGACTTTCACTCTGTCTAACACAAATTCTGCCTGGATACTGTAACTGAAACGAGTTTAATGGGGATGTAACATGGGTAAATTCTGTGTTGACCTTGGCATTCAAAGCCAGGATCACTGTCACATTTACATTGGCTTATCTGACATCTGGTCATTTGGGGCCTGATTGAAGAGAGCCACCTAGCAGAATATCCTTATATGTTCAAGTTTGCTACTTGGGAAAGACAGTAGAGAGAATACGGCATATGTTTTTTGGAATATTCAAAGCACAAATACTAGATGCTTTAAATAAGAGAGAAGACGGTGCATACGAATTCCCTGCAGGAGAATTTCTGCTTAGAGAAGTGCAGGTTAACTGGAAACTCCAGTAGACCTTGGGCCTTGATTTCCTGAAAGTGAACCCACATTTGTGTTCAAGGGTCTTGAGAAACAAGCTGTGTTCTCGCGTGGGCTGTCTGCCCTCTCCCGTTCCTAGAAGGACACCTCTCTGAAATACTTACAAACACTTAACAATAAGAAGCCTACAGTATCAAAACACTTCATGTCTCAGAAGCCACCAAACAGATTTTTTGAAAGCTTTTTTTTACAACTGAAACTATGCCCTGGTTTCACAGTCAAATAGTGGGTTTCCAATTTTCTAACACTTTCACTAAAATAAAAACTTTTTTGGCAAACATCAACCACAAAGAAAAACCAAAAGACAAACATTTTGAGTTTTTCTAAGCCTAAAATTGTGATATATGCAAATACTGGCGTTCCTGGTCAGAAGCCTAAACCCTTTAATGAAAACAGAAAAGAAAGCTGAGGCTTCCAAACCAAAATGGTTTGAGCATTAAGTCAAAAAGAAAGACTGTGTTGCCTGTATTTCACATCATTACAAGCTCATAAAACTACCCAGTCTCAGCTGCTCTGCAAGATAAAATGCTTAAGATAGAAATTCACCTGATAGTGGTTTTCAACTCTTTAGTCATGCAAGGAACACACACAGCACTGGTTTTTATCTTATATTATTTGTCATGTAGTTGAGAAACAAATAGTAGATACTGTTGCTGACTTTGAGCCAAGACAGTCACATATGATTATGTGCCATGGTGCTAAATTCTGCAGGAAATAAAATTCTAATGGTTCTAATTCCTTTCACATGAACTTGTTCACTGTGTCTCCATGCTCTGGTGGTAACCTCAGGCCTGATACAAGCATGGGTTATTATATCTTTTAAACCCTTTACAGAGATTAGAAGGCTGCAGAAAAATACCACTGGGGGTTA